GGTTGTCACGAGATTGAATTCACAACTTTTGTCGTTCCTCTTGCAATACTACTAACAATAAGGCTTCACTTAAGTGAGAAAGAAATCGCTTTGTATGATTAAACATAATTTCAGTTCATCTTCAATGACTTCGCAAAAAATCATTCATTTTAAATTGTCATCACAAATTCTACATGAAAAAAGTCATCTTTTTGATAGAAAAAATGATATCATATAAAACGTTTCTTTTGGTTGCTTTCATACTATACATAGTGTACTCTGTTCTGATACACCAAACTCAGAATCACCGTTGATTCATCATCACTCATCATTGAATTTTAATCCAACTGCTACCGCATTTTGAGTTCGTTCGCTCTAAGTGGCGGTTGCCATTGGAGCTGGTTGCTCGTTGGCTGTTGCTGTTGATTCGTTGCATCCGCATGGCGAAGTGGATCGAGAAGAATTTGAACTTTTTATCGATCTGGAAATAAACTCGTTACCCTAGAAACAAAATTTCTTTTTCTGAAAACTGCAGGCTTTTTCGAGGAAAACATGCAAATTTTAAAGTGGCCGAAAAAACAACAAGTTGCTGCTATGAAACCCGNGAGTTTTGGTGACATCGAAATTGTCATAGAAAGACAGAAAGACGAAGTGAAATGGGATAAACTATATAATGAGTTGTTGAATTATCTTCTGATAATTAACATTTGTTGATGTGAAGATGATGGATAAGGAAACGATGTTTCAAATAATTACTTCGAAACGGAAACGCGTCGCATACTCCTCGCTAATGATTTCAGTTCTTGCACAAGAGTATTCACCAGCATATCGTTATCCTCATCTTCTGCCGCTGCACTTTCTGGTTCGATGAATCTGAAGCTGATCTCTTATGATCTCTAAACACCTCGAATAAACGATGCTTAGAAACAGAGAACATGCACTGAGACATATGGACGTTTAGCATTTTTGAGACGGTAAAATCCAACAATGCAAGATCACCAATCTTTTGCTTAACCGAATGAAAAATTGCAGTGATTTTTTTTTTGGTGGGGAGGGGAGGGGGTTAAGTATCTCTCACAAATCATAATGTTCACACACAATGAATTTAGGTCCGAAACAGAGGCATTTACGAAAATTCACAAGGCATTTCGCATCGCCGCAAATGAATCTTATGGTTGCAAAAGTAGTTCTTTCAATCACTGAAAATCCCCGTTCCCCGAACCTCTCCCCCTTCCCAGAAAATAAGTAATCGCCTACGATATTTGCTGTGCGATTTCTCGCATTTCTTGCGAGATTGCATTAATTTGTGCTGTGGTCGCTGGCTCATCGTGGATACCAACACCGCCACACTCGTCAACGATACTGTCGGCGATTATACCAGAACACATCATTTTCAGTACGGGTAATTCATTCGCTTCGGCTATCAATAACATCTTCTTGACGAACGTCAAATCTTCGTTAGACTGAAATCCGATTGATTCGCTCAGCTTTTGACCGACACAACCAATTGCTTCATTCGGGTGCAGAAGAATTTTGCTAACCGATGTAGAAATTATATTTTAGATTATCTGTGAGTTTATTACTAGCTACATACGTACGTACATTCTTCGTATTCTAGAATGCTGATGATCGGTTAGTTAGCTTCTCTCATTGAATCAACCGGATAAAATTCAGTAGAGATAAGAATTCTTTTTGAATGAGCGAGCAAGCAAATGAGCAAAATATTTAGTAACTATTTGCATTTTTAAATTCATTTTGCAAAAGTCGCATGGTCACATACTTTTTAACAAATATTGTTCAACTGAGTGTTTGAATGTATTTCAGTCTGACGATAATTCATAACTAATCAATTTGTAGGTATTTTGTCAGCATTTGTTTGTAAGACAAACTGGTTGTGGAAAGGACTAGAAATTATTGAGGAATGGATGGTATCGTGGTGTTAATTTTTGGTTTGTTTTCGCCAAACCATATGCTTGTACGTGCTGAATAAACTCTGATCAGACGTGATATGATTAATGCGTTTTGTCTGCGCTATTTTCGCCGTAACGCTGTGTTATTGTTTACGATCGCTTTTATCGCTTATTGTAAATTGCATCTATTTGGTTGTGAATAATCTTGTTGGATTAGAGCAGAAAACGCTGTCTGCGAGCACAAATCAGCAATTTTCAAAAAGATTTTCGGCATAGAACCGAATGAACAACAAAAGTTCAGTGATGTGAAATGAACAAAAAGTACTTTTGTAATCGTTCGACAAATATATCGTTCAATTTCTCTGGTCAACGGTGAGATATTGTGAGAACGAGATGCACCAATCACTTCCATTATATCCTCAAAATATTCGATGTCTGGCAAAACGCAGTGCATAAAATAGATGTGCGTAAATACCTGGAAAACAAATTTATTCACTTATGCATAATTTTGAATTGTAATAAATAAGTGTATTATCATTCTGATATTGTCGTTACTATGAGTGTTTTGAGGACGATAATTTATAACTCATCGATTCATTCATTCAACAGGTGAACAGCACAAACTGCTGCCTTCATGTCAGTTTTGTTTGATCGCAAACTGAGTTCCATGATGACTACCACGTCGGCTACACTTATTGTTGACATTTTCAAGAAAATTATTCGCAGCGATTGTTATTCATATAATCATTTTGATTGTTTCCAAGAGAAAATGCGTCGAAACATAAAGATAAAAGTTCAGTCAGTATTATACTTTCAAGAGAAGTAACACAATAAATATTCGAAAAATGGAAAAAACGAAAAGAAACGAACATTTTGAATGTGTTTCCGTGGCCATTTGTAATCGGTACGAGCGTTTACCTCGTCACATCCATGCGTTATTATCAACTCATGAACTGCGAACATGTCCATCTCAAACGAAAAATTTCTTGATTAATTTTAAGGCGATTCGTAAGAGTCCCAAAAATATCACTCAAATTCCAAAGAGCAAAGAGTGTTTTGGTTTGTTAACTGGCTAAATCTATCAATTGTGCCAAAAACATTTCAAAACGCATCAATCATCGTTCGCATTCACTCAATCAGCTGTTATGATCGTTACGTTTGATGGAATAATCGCAAAAAACAAGACAACATCGCTGGAAGCGTATCGATCATTCTGATGCTGTCAATCAACAAAAAACTTATAAACATTGTCATTCCAACGATGCAATACGGAGTGCGTTTTTTTGCTAGAGAATTTAGCAAGAGTCACTGATCAAAATTTTTTTGCACTTCAGACTCGAATAATTTTTTTCACTTTTTCACTTCAGACTCGAATTTCAGCTTTTTTTTCGCCAGCAGAAATGCGAAAGAAAACGTAGGAATCAAAGAAATGAGCGCATAAAAGACGGGCTCAATTGCGGCGGCTATCAATATAAAATCTATCAATTTTGCCAAAAACTTTTCAGATAGAGGCTAAAAAGAGCTATTTGCTTGCACTTTTTGAAGGATCTTGCAGGTTTGCACAGTTTGGATTTTTTTCTAAATCGTCATAGAAAAAAGTTTTCGTCAATCATGCACTTATCAATCGTTTTCAATCGAGTCACACAACAGCTGCCAATATCACGCGAGTATATAACAAATTTTGTTTGAAAAACATTTTCCAGCCTTCAACGAATAATCCATACTTTGAGTTTTGCAAAATTTGAAATTCAGCTTTTCTTTCTGTGATATGCGAAAAAAACCAGAATTATTAAGTTCAGATTTCGCTCTTGTAAATACATTCTTTGAACAACGAAATTGAACACGAAGATGAAACTGAACACCGAAATGTTGTTATACGAACTTCAGGATCATGTAGGAGGGTTTCGAGTTCGGGCACGATCTGATGATCCTGTTTGACGTCTTCAAGAAACTGCACACAAGCATCTTCCAGCTTCTTGTTCGCACCATCGACATTCGGTAAGTATAGCATCGGTGAGAAAATACTCGTTTTCATCCTGGTTTCATAGTTTATCTTTATAGCTGAATGCCAATTTTTCGTTTAGTTTAGTCTTTACGACTCAAGCCAATTCCACTTTTTGCTATCTCNACGCTGAGCTCAGTGAACTTTTGCGGTTGTGGAACGTTTTTTCGAAATAGGATTCCTTGATGTTTCCACGCATCAAATCGCACACATTCGTTAAATCAAACTGGATGGCAGCTTTTCGATTACGCTCTGGCCAATTGACCAATCCGGCTACGAGCGATTCATTAACGTGCAAATGCGAGCATATAACATGTTCACAAAAAAGCGATCTGAATGCGAATTTGCAAATTCACTTATCGTTAGATCAAAAACCACAGCTA